GGGGATAACGGTGGCAATGGCGGCAATGGGGATAACGGTGGCAATGGGGACAACGGCAGCAATGATCTGACTACCACGACAACAGACTCAACGACAACAATTATCGCGGCAGCAGACTCGACGATTACAGCGTCAACGACAGCAGACTCGACGACAACAGAGTCAACGGCAGCAGACTCGACGACTACAGCGTCAATAACAGCAGACTCGATGACAACAGAGTCAACGGCAGCAGACTCGACGACTACAGCGTCAATAACAGCAGACTCGACGACAACAGAGTCAACGGCAGCAGACTCGACGACTACAGCGTCAACGATAGCAGACTCAACGACAATAGAGTCAACAGCAGTAGACTCAACAACGACAATTGCCACGACAGCAGACTCAACGGTAGCATTGAACAGTGGCCGGCGACGTCGTCAATCGATGCTTATTCAATAGCAAGCACTGTTTGTTAAATAATGAAGCACAGAAAAGAACGCTGTTTATTATTCGCTGACTTTCATTTTCTATTCTCGTCTCATGTTAATCTCGAATTCTTATTTGATAATGAATAAATATTTTGAAATCCTATCTCGAACTCTAGTTCTATCTTTCTCTCAGAAGTAATAATATACATAGCCACTTCAAATATATCATTACGAGATTTCATGAGATACTTGACAAGAATCACAGGCTCATGTTAATTTATGTTAACTAATGTCGACATAGATAATACATGGTCCATCGATCATCTCTAAATATACGATCACGTCCAAGAATCTACGCGAACATTTTCCTTTCTTCAATCATATACAAACATTATTAGATACACATCGTTTTTTCTTCAATATTCAATTAGTGTCAGTTTTCATAGGAAGAAAATTTACTCTTAGTTTGGAACAAACAAAATTTTAGATTATTCAAACTTTGTCGTCTGAAAATATATCACTAAATAACGACTAATTACCATAAAGTATTTTCGTAATTAGACTAAAACTCAAATAGAAAACGGCATCACCAGTCGTTAGTCATCCTCTGGTGGAAAGGATTCAAAGCCACAAAAGTAAAAAGAAGAAAGTCTCTACAATCGAAAGCGCATCATCGATAGATTATCAAACATGTTATAACCTCAGAGATACTTAGCAGACAAGTGACATAAATCCCAACTTTCTTCCGACAGGTGTCCAAAAACAGATTTCATCAAAAAAGTATAGTTTTCACTTTGTTACATAGTATTCTTTTTGTCTGCAAAATGGACAAGTTCTATAATGTGATTTCATTGTGAGATTAAAACTAGAGGCTAGAAAAAAGATTAGTTTTTATTATAACGATTTGAAATGTGAAGTTCTTAAACCGTCGTCATTAAAACGTTAAAAAAGACGAACTTCTATGACGGACAGAATTTTCACTTTTTTATTTGATCCAATTATGATTTTTAAAAGATGACTGAATATTCTGAAAACTTGTGGAAAACTGAACAACTTTCATATTGAACATTTATTTGTTTGTCGCTTTATTGGGAGTAAAATCATAAACTCCTCACCGCACTCTAAAAAGTAATTCAATTTTTTTTTAAATTTCTTGACGATCAATATCCTTTGAATAACTCAGGTCTGACTAAAGAAAAATCAATGAAACTTTTACTGGTTATCAATCTAAATAGTTTGTCTTTATAATAAAAATTTCAGAGAGTTTTCATTGATTATTGATGAGATATAGGTATCACAATGTAAAACAATGAAATTCCGTGACGTTTGCCCATGTCGAAAACTGAAGAATTCTAACTATTTTCTATTTCGTTGTAGGTGACCATGCAGAAAAAGAATTTGATGTGCTGAGAGTAAAGATTGAATAAAATTATAAAACAGTCTCTAAAGCTCATCGAAATGTATGTCAATCAGCAAAAGTTTGTGTTTTCTATTATCAAATGGAACATGTCGACAGCAAAGGATTTCAAAATACTGTTAAAGTCTTCGAAACTACCGTGTTTTTCAGCTATGAAAGATACTAATACAGAAGAGTTCTCGAATATGAAAATGAACGAATATCTAAAATAATTAATTTCTCAAATTCAGCCACTGGAAACGATGTATATGCAGATATGAGTGTTGTTACCCTCTCCACTCACACCGAAACTCCATACCCTTTTATTATTTCTAGTGAATCTTCCGTTACTTATAATTTGCCACTTGATAAAAATTTATTAGCAAATTATA